CTTCTTCGCTGGCGTAGCGGCGCCGTCTTCTTTCTTCTTGATGATCCGTTTTGGGGGTCTGAGCCAGTCCTCCATTCCTGGTGGCCAGTACACTCTTCCCTCTGGTCCTCCCATGCCTACCTCCTCGTCAGGTACAATGGGTGGGGGTACGTCCTCTGGCTCTTCCTCTTCAATCTTCGCATCCAGCTCATCGAGCTCGTCGGTCTTCTTCTTCTTGCTCTTCTTGACAGCCTTCTTGGGCTTGGGCTTCCAGGGCTTGTTCTCATCCTGGCGCGTATGTGGCAGAATGTCGTTGAAGGTTTCGAAGCCTGGGAGCTTGAAAGTTCGCATGAGCTCAAATACAGCCTGCTCCTTGTCCTTGGCTTCGATCATCAAGTCCATGGTGTCTGGGCAGGGAGGGAATGTCATGACGCGGGGTGAATGCTTTCTCCGCTTCGTGCGAGTAATCGCAGGAGGTGTTTGCTCAGAGTAGTGCATCTTAGGCGTGATCCCTTTCTTCTCCCATGTTGCAAGAATACGGGGATAGTAATCCATGACATCCTTGGTACCTTCACGGATCTGAGTCTCGTCAAAGAGGATGTTGTGATGGTGGTAGTCGAGCACGAATGGGATGTTAAGCTCTTCACATAGAGGCAGCAACTCATGCATGTTCCATACAACGTCGTCGTTCTCAAGCACCAAACGGTTCTTGACTCCTTGAGGAAGCCTTGCGTAGTTCTCCTTGAACCTCTCAATGGCGGCTGGCTTGTCGCCATATGCTCCACCGAGATGTAGAATCATGACAGCATCCCGATCTTGCTGCTCTGGGAGCTTCAGAAGAGAGAGCATCTCAGCATGATACTCCAGATCACGCATAGCGTTGTCGATGACCTGCTTTCGCGGGGAGCCCAACTGTGTGAACTGGCCCGGATGAGTAGTCACTCGATGACCCAGCTCACCGATCACTTTGCCTGCTTCACGCAACGTCTCGGCAGCGAAAGGCTCAAGCTTGTAGCCATACTCGTCATGGCTTGCAAACGGGAATATCTCGCTACTCAAGCGCATGAACTTGATGCCGTACCTGTCGTTCCAGCGCACCATCTTGATGATATCCCGCGCATTAGCGAGGCCAATCTCTTCAACGTATTTCATGCCCCGCGCGACATCCGCTGGTTGTTCCTTATCGGGGCGATTCTTAGTGGCATGTTCGGGCTGGGAGGGGTCCTTCAGGGGATGGCGATGTTCGATGATGCTCGCGATGCGGCAGGTTCTGGAGCTGAAGACGGGAGGGGTAGCACTGCGGAGGTACGTATTGAGACAGGCCTGTATGCACATTCGTTAGTTTAGATTAAAAGGTACCTGCAGGACACATACATAGCCAAGTCGTCCTTTCCACGGAAGAGGAAGGTATTCAGAGTTGACCGGTGGGGGTCTCGACAGGGCTTCCTGGACCTCTGCCTCGTCCTCGTCCTCAGCCTCGAGGTTATCGACATCGTCGGGATCTGCCGCTACCCCAGTGCTGGCTGCAGGTGCAGTGACATTTCCAGCTACGCCATTCACGGCACCGTTGTTGGTGTCTTCCTCTTCCACTTTGATTTGCTGGGCGCCGGCCTTCTTTCGCTTGTTCTTTGCAGCATTCGCTGCAGGGGCGGCGCCATTCGCCACGGGCGCATCGCCGTTTGTGGCAGGTGCTGAGGGCGCCTTCTTCTTCGCAGGCGCACCTGATGCAGTATTCGCCTCATTCGCAGTACCGTTGCTGACGGCAGATTCCAGCACAGCATCATGCGCGGCGCTTTCGTGTCCGTCAGGCGATGCGCGTAATGCAGTGACTCCATCGAGGATGTCAGGGTTGAGATTAGGGTCGGTCTTTTCAGCCTTTCCCCCACGCGTCGTTTGGCGACGAGGAGGCTTCGCGACGTTTGACGGCAAAGGCACGTCTGTTCGGCGCATCTGTGATCGGTCCATCGGGGGCGCCTCTTCGGTCGTAGGCACCGCAGCTGCTACAGCAGATCTCTTCCGCTTAGGGGGCATGGTAGGAAGATAGGAGATCACGCGCGATCTCTGTAAAGTTGCCGTCGCTCGGAGTGGTGGATGGAATGCGACACGAGAGCAAATGCTGTGAAGGGAACGTAGCATGTGTCCGGACTCAGGTGATGCCGCTGCAGAGGAACAGCAAGTTTATTGAGAGGAGGCTGAAACCCGCGAACCGTGCTTCTATTGCCATGTTGGGTGGCTAACGCGTCGAGCTCGCGACTACGTCATTACATTGAGGTTTGATAGTATGACGCTGGTGTTGTCTGAGATCGGCTCAGACCCGATCGGCTACGATTAGCGAACCCGCCCGATCTCATGCCAGATCCCATCTTTCGCATTCTGCAATCCCATCACGAGCACAATTGCATACGTCTAGTCTCATCAAAGACGCTATCGCTACATGTCTCGCTCTTCAACGCGCCATCGCAATTGTGATGCTTGGCCACGCCCGTAGCAGGACGGCATGCTGTGCACAATGTGTATGCACAATCGTTATTTGTGCAAAGATCCACTGAAACACACGGTCCACTAATGGCCTGAATATATCGCGATCTAAGGGGTTCAATCGTCATCAGCGCATTTACATCAATCTTTCACGATGGTGTCTGAAAGCACTAGCTCGGTCTCTGTCAGGATTTGCACAAAAAGCGCCAGAAACAGAACACTTTATGATTATATCGCAAAACTACCTAGGTATCTAAAAGATCATAGCAGCACAGCCGTCTCCAGAAACATTCCACCATGGCCTTCATCACTTTTTTGTCCTGAATCCTCCTGCATTTATAAAACGACATGACAATACCACATGTCAATTTAATGTTGAAGTGACTACACGTGTAGTTCTCCAAACCATGGCATCGCAAAACAACCAGACCATCTCCAACGACCTTTTTCTTCTCTCTAAAGCATAATGCTAAGTTCACATCTTTATTGTAACACTAAACACTACTTGCTCGTGATACTTCTACTGCCCCCTACTTCTTACCTCACCTTACCTCACCTCGTCGCCCGTGGAGCTCAATAGATACGATCACGCACCCTACGCTATAAACCACGCGATTACTACCTTTCCGAACTACAGTGTGTATCGCGTCTTTGGTCTCTTCCTATGTATGTATTCAGATATGTGTATAGGCAAGTGTGAGCATCACCAAGAACGTGTCCAAATCTTGCGACGTTTTCTACCAGCGGCAAAAATCTCGTAAAACTAGACATGCTGTCTCTAAGTAAAGATGTAAGTTTTTCGCCAACGTGGCTGTCAAGAACTTTAAGCTTGCTGATGTACCCAAGGGGATCGAATATCAGCCCTCGTGTGTAGCTTTCTTCAGGGCTCATACCTAGATATGCTCGAGATATCTCTTTTGATCCTCACAACTCACTCTCCGACTTGGCCCTCATTTCATGCAGTCCGTTCATACCGCGCTACAATTTTCTCGTCAAGCAAGTGTACCAGAGACGACACCGTGCGGTTGCCAAAGCTGCTCTGCTATCGACAACGATTTCCACAGAACCCAATAGAGACAGAAGCAGGAGTGGAGTGCCCTGGATTTCAAACGAACGAGTACAAGTGCACGGTGTTTGTGCTCCGCAGGCGCTCCTTCCTCTTTCACTGCGCTGCTGATGACGCAAGCCTAGATGTGCGCGCTCGGGCTCATTCTTCCAAGGTTACCTTTACCTAATCACCTCGCTCACCGAGCTACCCAACTTCTCCAACAGACTGCGCGCAATACATTCGGATACACGACTGCGTAGAGGCTACATTATCCCACACCTCACAGTATATGTAGGTGTCGCGCCTTCCTTTTTCTCCAAGTACCAACTGAACAGTAGCAGCAATCATGGCGGCCAACCTTCCTAGCCTTCCGGTAGAGCTCATCCTCCAGATCCTATGCTGCGAGAAGAGTGGACGCCCTCGCCGACTTCTTTGCGAGGCGCTTCGCCTCACCTGCCAAGATCTCAACAACAAAGTTGTACGATACTACGGCCACAAGCACTACAAGCGAATCAAAGTGGCTCTCAGCGAAACTGGTCTCAGCAGCTTACCGCGCATCTCACAAGGCCCGCTGGCCTCCCATATTCGCTCTGTGACGTTCGACTGTAGCAACCCCTATCATTACAAGGACGCCAATATACCGTGGGACTATGTTTTAACGTTGGACGAAAACATTACAAAATGCTTCAAGTCTGGTCGATATATAGCTATTGTCGGGCCTGCCTTGTCTAGGCTACCAAATCTTAATGAGCTTCTTGTTAGGACCACCTACTACAGTCTCTACATCGATGACATTCCCGGATTTTGTTCAGATATCAGGGAACCTCAAAATTTGATCAAGAATCTACCATGGTGATCGGGGGTGGATTCAAGATGGGAGTGGTTTGTGAGGTGCGATTGCCCTCAGATCTAAGGAGGGGTTTAACATCAAGCACGGGTTCACATTCATTGATACCATATTGCATTCATCTTCTTGTTCTTCACATTTTTCTGCACGCGCACACTATCAAATCTCGATAGTTGGACCGTTTCCAAGACAACGTATACCTCAGAGGTAGCTAGGATCTGCGTCGCAGATTGTTGCACACCCACCATGCTAAGTCTCATATCTGGACTTGATTTTGTTACAAGCTAGTGAAGCTCAGTACCACAAAACGAGTATGCGACATAAAGCCACTCCTCCTTCTCGATATATACGGCTTATGTAGCTAACAAGTACCTTATATTACATATGATATTGGTCGCAGAAGGCATGTGTGGCTCGTTGTTAAGGTGTCATGGCCGCACCATGGGATGAAGTGGATGGTAACCATGGTATGGTTTTGCCAGCACAGCCACACGAAAATAATGTGAAACAGAGCCGAGTATATATTCTGTTGATCACACCTACGGGTACGAGTAACCTGAGCCGTAAACTCTTTTCACAAACCTCTTAGCCTCTTCCAAAAACGTCGCGGCCCATCATACCAGCGTTTGCGCAGTACCAGCAGCCACGATGGCATCTCTCCAAGACATCCATATCGAAACCCTCACTCTGGAGCACAAGGCGCCACGTCTCATCCTCGACGGCCTCCTAGACCGCATGTCACCAATCTGCACTCTCACAGACCCATTACCCAAAGACCGTGTCTGCGGGTCTCTTGAAATTTTCCCCACAGAAATCCTCCTCCAAATCATCGAAGATCTTACCATCAGAGACACGATGCGTTTCCGACGCTGCTGCCGCTTCGCCATGCACCTCGTCGACACCGAGTCGCCGCTACGGTACGCGTTGAAATGGGCGCCGAACACCGTGAAAGGAATGATAGCGATACGAGATACGGCGCATATCACACCGAGGATGTTATTTCTCACGCTCCGACATCGACGCTGCTCGTTCAAAAGGCGTGGGAAGAAGTGTTGCGGGAGGTCAGCAGAAATAATCTACCTACCCACATGCACACGCCTCTGTCTTCGCTGTCTAGATATAGGCCACAGGCGGCCCGCGAGTAAAGAGTCGGTAGTCCGCTACGTTGGCGACATAGGACATGAGAATCTGAACACGGTGCCCCATTTCCGGGTTTTACCTGTCACGTTGACGAATGGGGTAAATAGATTCTGGGTCAAGGCAGAGGAGAAAATGTACGATTGGGAATACGTCGATGAGGTGTGTCCCCATCAGCCAGAACTTCGCGCTGATCGATACGACACATATTGGATCAATCGTCGCATCTTCCTTGGCGAAATGAAGGCACAGCAACGGTTTAGCTACCTAGGTCACCTTACAGATGTGGATGTCGTACCGAAGATGACAGTCATGGGTATGTGCTCTGTCTGGGCTCCGGCGATTGACCCAGTGCCATTAGCAGTGGAGAAGGAGTTCTACTGCTTGTGTTGCTTAGGCACGGCGATAAGGCGAGAAGTCTTTACTAGAGAGGAGTTCTTAGTTCATCTTAGGGATGTGTGCCGTGTCAGGCCGAAAGGTATTTGGTATCGGAACGATCTTCCTAAGCTGGTTCTTGCAAGCGATTGATCGCAAGTCTGATTGTCTCTCACATATACACTGTCTCTTTATGGAGGGCCGCGAATCTTGTATGAGACCAGCGAAAGACGAGGAAGTCATGTTGAAGATACACGGCGCTGCTCAGGCGAGCAAGGGACGGGTATGATTTCGAGGTGTAAGAAAAAATGTATCTAGGTCGTCCCCTTTGTCAAACTGATATTGTCGTTTGAGACCGGCGACGTGTAGTTAGCAGAGGAACTTTGTATGAAGCAGGGACATGTTCTGGCCCATGCGTGCTTGAACGCATGTGAAATATTAAGCCTGGTATCAATAACGGGGACGTCCATATTTCTAAGCACTAATTTTATTGTATAGCATTGCGACTCTTGCAACCACTCCATCTACTCCAGCTCTCTCTGATGACTTCGAGTGACAGCGCTCGATCGTCATCACAGCCACGGCACCGCCGACGATCATCGGTAGCAGCCACGACGTCACGCACTGCCACCAATGCCTGATCGCCGGCTAAGGTAATCTCGTGGGGAAGGTAGCGTGCGGCTGCGGAGGGTCCTCCGCATCATAGCAGATAGGGGAAAAGCAACTGCCGCAACTAAAACGATCACGATCAGGCTGAGTTCAGGTTTTGCTAGTTTGGTTACACAGCACCGCGAGCATTAGACACTTAACGGCGCTGCGTACCACTACCGGATCAGACGGATCCGAGATCAACGAACCACGACGGCTTATGCGAACGCGACAGAAAAAGAAAAGAAGAGCGTGCGTGATGCGGGAACGCTGGGCGTGTGGGCGAGGGAACGATGGAACACATTTGTGTTTCTTTCATGTGATGGTTGAAACATTGGAATATCGAAACTTGAAATGGACATGACTTCGATGAGGGTCTGGAACGCGTGCAGGGAGTTACCCGCCCATGTGCATTGTGCCTGTCAGACTGTGGCTTGCCTCGCATCCAGTCGCAGCCACGTCGACGAATTCATCCAAAGGAACCCTGGAAAACCACCAACACCTCATCTGCCAAGTTTGCGCTTGAGATCATCTTGCTTGTGGGCAGCATCATGGCAAGCTCCGAATTTGAGTTTCTTTCGTCGGCGAAACCGTCGGTCGGGGCGCAGTCCAGGACGCTGTTTGGTCGATTCAGGGCACAAGTTTGATGAGATGCGTCGGTGAAAAAAATGACGTGTGGTCGATGGCAGAGTAAAAGCAGGGTTCAAAAAGCGGGCTAGTGGGTAGCGTGGCTGACGCACGGGGCGGGATCGACAGCGAACTTTGACGGAACAAGGCAGGCACGACGACGCCAATGCTGCATCATGGAAAGCGAGTTGCAAGGCTGCGTCATCGCCCAGGGCAGCATCGAAACGGACAGAGACACATAAACCCTTTTCGCTCCCCCTGTGGCTGGCGAGTATTCACAGTCTAACATCACAACAACATACACCTTGAGCATCGCCCTTCTCGTCACCTCTCCGATCCTAGCACCTCTCTCATCTACCTCGAAACTTAATTGCGACAATGGGTTTCGGCGGCGCTGCTTTGAAGTTGGGCTCTACAGCGCTATATGCGCTTGAGTTCTGCTGTGCTGCGATCATCCTCGGTATCTACAGTTACTTCCTGTCTGTAGAGGCGGACCGCGATGTCAACATTCCCGTCTGGCAGCAAGCCGTTACCGGTCTCGCTGGTGCGACTGTGCTATACACCATCTTCGCAGTCCTATTGACCTGCTTCCTTGGCGGAAAGGTAAGACAACCCCTTGGCGATATTGATATCAACACATACTAATGCCATATCCAGAAAATCTTTGCTTTCCTCGGCATACTCCTCGACATCCTCTGCTGCGGTGCCATGATCGCCGTCGCCGTCCTGACCCGCGATGGCGCATCCAGCTGCTCCGGCCGCGTTGAGACACCCCTCGGCGACGGACCCGCCAACTCCAAGGAAGGCTTCGGTTCCAACGGCCGCGGCGACCAGATCACCTACTCTGCCTCGCTCGGCACGATCTGTAAGCTCAACACGGCCTGCTTCGCCGTCGCCATCATCGGCGCCTTCCTCTTCCTGCTCAGCGCCCTCGTCCAGGTCTTCCTCATGAAGCACCACAAGAAGGAGAAGGCGTTCGGTCCCGGCCCCAGCAACGGCTACACCAAGGGCTCCGGCATGAAGTTCTGGCAGCGCCGCAAGGCTAACCGCACTACTGGACACCGCGACCCTGAAGTCGGTACCGTCCCTGCTACTACCGCTGGTGGCCTCGCTGTCCCTGCTGGCACCCACGACTACCGCCCCAGCCACGACACCGCTTACACCGGTTCCACCGTCGCTGCTCCCCACACTGGTTTCGCGACCGACAAGCCTGTGACCGGTGGATACCACACTGCTCCTCACGTTGCCCCTACGGCTAACTACGCCAACAACGGTAACACCGCTACCTACGGCTCAGCCACCAACTACTAAGCCAATACACCCTAGCCTCATGCGAAGATGAGATTGGCGATGCTCTAAATTGAGTAAGGTCTATGCTTATAAGCATGACTGTTTTTCCTTACACCTGTACTCTATTACGACGTTTACGCATTATACCACACACGGAGAGGAGGGAGTTGAATACTCGAATGAGATGAGATCAGAAGAGATTGTATGATGAAGTGGATACGATACGAAACCTAATACCTAATGTCAATACCGAACAAATATATATGATCTAAAACATTGTTGTACCTTGTTGATGCTGCCGGTATCGTGTCTTTGTCACTTGTCGTTGTTGGCAACGATTCAGTTGGGCACGATTAGCGATAAAGTACATGGCGAACTATTCGAACGAACATGAATGCACAATACTGTCCGTGTCTCCGGCATTCACACATGTGAAAAACCTCGTCACGTCCCCGCAAACCAGCGGTGAATTTGGACAACACGCATGATCGACATGTAGCCGCCGAGAGTATTGGATAGACCACTAGTTCGGTCTCTCACGAACCTTATGCATTGCGCGCCGCCCAGGGAATGCTTGCCGACAGTTCCCCACCAACCGACCCCACTCGACACGATGAGCATTGACGAGTTGTAATAACTCAATCAAATGTACCGCGTCATGTTCGCAGACGAGATTCCCAAGCGGATAGCAAAAAGATTAGCTAAGTAGCAAAAAGATGGTTCAAATGGTAAAAACACACAACTTCTTTTTTGCTATCCACACGCAAAAAAACTGCAAAAACATACAACAGCTAGGATTCGCTTCTGGTCACCCACGAAGCTACTAGCTAGCCGGTAACAAGCTTGAGTACCGCTGAGCGAACGGGAAGCGCTATTGACTTGTTCCTATGGTCGTATGTGGAAGATGAGCTCGTTGTGGGAGTAAATATTGACGGTGAATGACGACCCCGGGAGCGAACGACTGCGTCCAATGCTTCCCGGCAGCTGAGCTTATATAAAGGTTATCGCACAGCGTTATTAGTAACAAAACTTCTAATAGTGCTTAGTTTGCAACATTGTTTAACGTGTATATAGAAGCTGTTGCCTTTTATTAGTTGCATAGGGCATGCTTGTCGACTATCTTCCGCTAGTTAACCCTACTTAACAAGATGAGCAACAGTAATATAAAAGAACAGGTAACATGCCACACTCTGCATTTTGTTTACCCAAGCCCCCAAAGTCTTCTTAGGTCTGCTGCTCTACCAGAGGTTGTCCAGCCAATCTCCTGCTCTATCTTGGATAGGTGTCTCAACAGCGCGAGCTTCTCTGCCGCATACTTCACATCGTTTGCAATGTCGCTCTCATTCAGTCGCGGTGAGACACCTTGCTGCATAGGCGAGCTATCGCCGAATACCTGCCCAGCAATGTAAAGAGGCTGTAAGTGATTGCTCCAGTTGGCATGCGATGAATTCGCTAAGCTGATCCCACAGAGCTCTTTGGCATGCCAGATTGGATCATACCTCTCTGTCTCAGCGTGGGTTTCGTCCTGATATACATTTCCTGTCCGTAGCAACAGAATGGACCCGGCATGGTAGAAAGTGTTGCCGCAAACCGACGAGTTGCTGGTGTGTAGAATAGTCGGAAATGGGTTCCCTTGATGTGCCTCTGTTCTGATGAGAGAAAGAACTTGCCTCGGACGATGAATTCGCCAATCTTGTTGTTCACGCCACAATGCGTTAATAGCAGACGGGCTGTCAGATAAGTGTCCTTGTTGTTTCCGGCTCGTTGCAATGAGATTTATTATCTTCGCGAAGATAAGTATAGCAAGATTGCAGTAAGCGTCAATTGATGCAGCGGCCGCAATTGACTGCACATTGCTGTCATCGACCCAATCATCGGTTGGTATCAGGGTCTCTTCTTCGAGCACAAAGGCTGCCCATACATCTGAGAACGGTTCAGCAAGAGGACGTGATGCAATGTAACCATAATGTACCTATACGTGCGAAAGCCCAGAAACAAGCCTTTATGAGTCCTGGACTAGAGCCGTTCCAACCTTTAGACTTCAAGTTCCAGACACAGCCCTGTATAAGAAGTCAACATTAGCAATCCACCAATCTTACCAATCAAACGAACCTTAAGATGGCGTCTCCACTCGCCAACATCAGAAGCCATCATTTCGTAGACGCTTAGTAGGATACAAGTGGCTAATGTAGCTTCACCACACTGAGATGGTTCATAGTGAAGCAGTGACTGCACAGCATGCTGATAAAGGCTTAACGTACTCTGACGCTGACTGTGATGTAGGGCGTCAAGCTGTCGGGATGCCAGAGCCATGGCTGCGGCTGCGAACGGTTTGTTCTCCATCAATTTATGAACATATGATCCTGTAAAGTGCCTGCCTGAGTCTGTGGCCTCGCACCACGTCCCCGTTTCTTGCAGATACACACGAACGAGCCGAGCTTGTTCCGCCTTCGACACAGGAAGCTCAGCCTCAATCTCTGATGGCGCAATACAGCTGACGGCTCGATCATTTAGAAATGAGGAAGCTGACGTGCTCACTGACGAAGCATGCCCGGACAGAGAGAGAAAGGTGCTTTGGAGCAAATGAC